AGATTTGAATTCTTTGAAATTTGTGTGAATCTCAAGTTTGTGATTAACTTTACTAGTGCCATTAGTTTTCAAATTAGAATAGTTAAAATTTGAATTTTTTAAAATTTGTGTGAATCTCAACTTTGTGATTAACTTTACTAGTGCCATTAGTTTTCAAATTAGAATAGTTAAAATTTGAATTCTTTGAAATTTGTGTGAATCTCAAGTTTGTGATTGACTTTACTAGTGTCATTATTTTTTCATTTCTACTTAGAACTAAATACTTATAGTTTTTTAGTGATTTATTTTTTTCTTTTAGGTCACAAAAACTATAAACTTTCTGTTAGTGCCATTAGCTTTAAAATTTGAATAGTTTAAATTTGAATTTTTAAAAATTTGTGTGAATCACTAGTTTACTAAATTTGTGTGAAAACACTTTGTGTATTATATTTACTATGTACAATCTTTCTGCACAGAGATACCAAAAATTATAAACTTTCTGTTAGTGCCATTAGTTTTCAAATTAGAATAGTTAAAATTTGAATTCTTTAAAATTTGTGTGAATCTCAAGTTTGTGATTAATTTTACTAGTGCCATTAGTTTTCAAATTAGAATAGTTAAAATTTGAATTCTTTGAAATTTGTGTGAATCTCAAATTTGTGATTAAAATTACTAAAAAAATGAACATAGATGCGCCTATAGAGAAAATTCAACCTAAATTCATAATCAATTTCCATGAATTTCAGAGAAATTCATTATGAATTTAGGTCAAATTTCCTGTATAGGGGCATCTATTTTCATTTTGAGAAGAGCTCAACAATGCAGAGAGGGACGGGCTTATAAACCAGTGTGGGCGCCCTTCAGTTGGCGAGGTGAGACTAAACTGTGAATCGCAACGAGGACTGACCATTTAGTCCCGGTTCGTGGCATGAACCGGGACCAAAGGCCCCCATTGGTCCCGGTTCTGGACTGAACCGGGACTAATGGGCTGACCCGGCCTGGACCATTGCCCCCTTTTCTACTAGTGTACTAGTGAGCCTCATCAAAAAATAGAAAGTAGAAACTTTAATTCATATGCATCTCTATTCCCCACTTCGACTTTTTCAGCTTTTTACATCGGACCGCATTTTTTCTTCCCAAGCACCTACCTTTTGCAGAGGATCCCGCTTCCCTATCCGAACCTACTGTCCCTGACATCCGATCTTATATGGCACATGGGGCATCACCATGAGGCTATACATTGGTCATGTCCTAACAAGGGAAGAGACGAGACGCGCTGGCAGGCACGTGAGAAAGCAGCAGATCGAATTTTCCAACCTTTATTTTTTTTCCTCAACATAAAGAATCCTCCCGTGTCGTGCCGTGTCTGCTGGTGTTGCCATGTAGAAAAAGATGGCACCTGCCCGGCATGCAACACGGAGTAAAAACAAGCACTATTGAGAGATTATAATAGAACAATACTAATAAATGAATGGGTCCCGCTTCGGTACAACCCCCCTCACAAAATGTATAAGGAACAATATGGACTTTGACAGATTGTACATATTTTCGTATGTATGGTAGGTCGGTACTTGAACACAGGACCTCCCGTGCTAATACCAAAGAGCCAAACAACTAGGTTGAACATGCCTTCTCAACAATTCAGCAGCGCGGAATATTAAGAAATACACAAAGCAACAGATTTGAAAGTTTTTTGGGAAATTTGAACACAGTTTTTTAGTAAACGGGAACATTATCCAAAATTGAGACAGTTTAAAATGCGAACAATTTTACGAAAAAACGAATAATCTTTGACAAAATAGAATACATTTTGAAATTATGAACAAATTTTGAAAAAAACTAAACAGAAGTTGAAATTGAGAACAATTTTTTAAAACACGAGCAACATTTGAAACTCTGAACCTTTTCTGAAATTGAGAACAATTCTTCGAAAGCGCGGACAATCTTTGACAAACCGCTGTTCAAAAGTTGCCAAAAATACAATGAACCATTCTATTGTTTAAAATTAATTCTATGAAATGAGTCCAATATGAATATTTTTTATTTTTTTAAATTTTATTTTTCGTCAACATTTTCAATGTACTGTGTCAACAATTTAGATATTCTATGTCAACATTTTTATGAAAACGTTGACTTTATTTTTTAAATGTGATATGGGTTTATGAAATTGTTGACATGTTTTTAAAACTATTAAATTGATATAAAAATCAATATAACAGTTTGTAAATTAATTATCGTGATTAGAAATCAAAATAAAAATAAAAACACTTATGCATCTTCGTAGACCGTGGTGGGCTGTACCTTAATGGGCCTAATGGACGATCCGCATGTTACTAAATGTAGATTGCTCTATATACATAGGAGATCCCTCAGGCAAGATCGTGCCATGTAGGGCTGGACACGAGCCGAGCCGAGCCGAGTTAGGTCCGAGCCACGCTTTAGCTCGCTCTGGAGCGGCTCGGCTCGGCTCGGCTCGTGAAACCAACGAGCTGCATATGGGTGGTTCGGCTCGTTTTTTCACTAACTCGGTCCAGCCCGAGCGGCTCATGACGGGACGGCAAGCGACGTGGGCAGTGTGGCGGTGCGGCTTCGGGAACGCAGCGGCCGACGTTGGGGAGGACTAGGAGCAGAGAAGGACGTGGGTGGGTAGCGCGCGAGCACCGGCGTGCGTGCGTGCGCTCGGCGGCGATGTCATGCCTGCGTGCATGCGCGCCGACGACGGCATGCGTAGGCGCGGCGTCCAGCGGGGTCGCGTTGTCCTGCCCCAGGTGCCCTTGCGGCATGTTGCCCAGCGCCGCCGCAACATCACCCCCTCCTCATCTTGCTTGGAAAGAGAATGGCAGATCGATGGATGGCGGCGGGAAGAAGAAGAGATTGCAAGGAGGGAGGCTGGGGGCGACCGATGTGTGCGGCGGCGGCGGGGATGGTGCTGGATGGGGTGCGTGGGTGCGTGCTGCTCGTGTAGGTCAGAGAAAAGGGGTTTGCTTTGTATTGAGCTTGGCCTGGTCGTGTAGCGCTTGGCTGCGGAATCTTAAAATTTGAGTGTGCGATGAAACGGGCCACCGAGCTGGACCGAGCGAAAACAGGCTCGGCTCGGTCGCTGAACGGGCCTATATTTCCGGCTCGGCTCGTCCTTTTTAGTTGCGGGCCGAGCTAGAACGAGCTTCGAGCCGAGCTAAAATGCTCGCTCGTAGGTCCAGCCCTAGTGCCATGTAACGTTTCTGTCCTGTCTATCATGATTACAATATTTGACACAACTGCCCAAATTTCTCGTGACCAGTTTAACGGTTGTTACGAAAACTGTAAAACCCGATAGGTAAATCGCTCAAAAGGTAAATATCCAATTCAAACGAAATATGTCGAAATGCCATTCGGTAAGCCAAGCGGTTCTCGATTTACCACTCAGTTTTTCCTCTACATAAAAATGGCATGTACAATTTCTAGTTTCAATCGTTCAATTAAACAGAGCATATGGCTACATTGTTTTTCAAAGAAATAACAGAACATTTGGATGTGGTTAGGGAAGGGAAGAGGACGAACGGATGCTGGCTAGCCGCGCCTAAACCCTGGCTAGCCCCCACCATTCGTGGCTAGCCAAGTGGTAGACGCACCTCCTCGGGCCCCCAGCCACCCGAGCCACTCCATTAGCCGGGGTTTTCGATGGCTAGCCGGGGTTTGGAGGCCGGGGCATTTGATTGGGCCGGGATGGAGCCGGCTGCAAACGATTCGAGTTCGAGCGAGTTGGACTTGGCTCAGCTTAACTCATATTAAAATTCGAGTGAGCTCAAACTGAATGAAGCTCAAGATCGAGTTGTAGAACATGACTCCTATTCAGCTTGTAACGATCTTGAATCGATCGCGAGCTAGTTTCGAGCTAAATGAGACGATAATTTTTTTAAAGTCTATGACAATTATTCCCACTAGATAAGGCACAACTTGACATAGAAAACATTAAAATATTTAGCCCAATCAAAATGATGATAATATAAATTTCTTAGAATGACTGGAAAACAAAATATAGGCCAACAATCATAAAAACTTGCAGCGTAGTGCATGCCGGAGATGCCAAAAACAACAGACTATTTAACACATGGCCGACCATGTACCATAATATAGCCTAAAGTTTCCCTACAATTAATTAGTCTTCCATGTTTGCTGGTAAATAAAATGGAGAAAAATCCTAGGCGACATATATGGTAATAAATTATCATATTTCCATTTAATATATGACATGGTCATTTAACATAATTGTATTATGCCGAGCCATCGAGCTCATATCGGGCGAGCCAGTATTTGACTCAAGATCAGCTCGTTTCTCAACTGAGCTATTGAAAGTGTTCAAACTCAGCTCATTTATTTTTTAATCAATCTCGAGTCGAACCAAAAAACGAGTCGATCTCGAGCGGCTCATGAGCCTCGAGCTTTTCTTGCAGCCCTAGATGAAGGGAGGTGGTGGTGGGGATGGAGGGAGGCGAGCGCTGAGGGTGGAATGAGCTCTGGACCATTGGAGAAAAGGATAAGGGTTATTTCCTCTTTTCTTTTAATTATTTCTCTTCATTTCTTCCTTCTTGATTTTTTTTGTCAGGCAAACATGTTTTTTTCATAAACTTCTTCAACCATGATTTTTTATTATTCATACAGTTTTTTTAAAAAAAATATCATAAATTTTCCAAATTCTTTTTAAAAAAATTGTCCGAAAACCGATCATCTGCTTAAATCGGACCGGACCTGTTTTGACGAAAACCCTGAAAATTAGCAACCATGCGTGTAGAATAGTACTACTCCTACTTTTTAAAGGCACCATCCAGTGAATTCTAGTGGACGACAGCAGGCGATTCATGATCAGATAAAAAACCCGATTCCTGCCGCCTTTTAGCATTCTTAATAATTAGCGGAACCTAATAAGAGCCGCCACATGGATTGTTAAGCGAAAACAGGTTCCCAAACCGAAAGATCGAAGGAGCTCAGATTATTGCTCTGATTTTCACACGCCGACTTGGATCGAGTGAGCTCGATCGGGGATGGAAGGCGGCAAGAAGCAGCACCACCACTTCGTCCTGATCCACGGCGTCTGTCACGGCGCGTGGTCCTGGTACAGGGTGGCCACCGCTCTGGAGGCCGCCGGCCACCGCGTCACCGCGCCGGACATGGCCGGGTGCGGCGCCAGCCCCGGGCGCGGCGAGGAGGTGGCGTCCTTCGAGGACTACAGCCGGCCGCTGCTGGACGCGGTGGAGGCGCTGCGGGAGGGCGAGCAGGCGGTCCTCGTCGCCCACAGCTTCGGCGGGCAGAGCCTCGCGCTGGCCATGGAGAGGCACCCGGAAAAGGTCTCCGTGGCCGTCTTCGTCACGGCCACCATGCCCGCCGCCGGGAAGCCCATGACCTACGCCTTCAAACAGGTACTCCTCCCGTCAGAAAAAGCTCGTTCCTCAAATGGATGTGACCGTTAACAGTTGTACTACGAAACTGCTGTTAGCTATCGCAAGGGAAAGGGCCGGATTTCTTCATGGATTGCGCGCTCGGAAGCGCCGGCGATCCCCGGAATCCGGACAAGACGTTCCTGTTCGGGCCAAAGTACATGGCGCGGAGAGTGTATCAGCTCAGCCCTCCCGAGGCATGTTTAATTTGTTCCTCAATTTCTGCTTATACTTTCTCTGATCTGATGTATGATGCGGTATAATGCAGGACCTGACCCTGGGAATCGCGATGGTGAGGCCGTCACGGCGGTTCCTCAACGACGACACGATGAACGGGGACGTCCTGACGGCGGCGAGGTACGGAGCGGTGAGGCGTGTGTACGTCGTGGCCGAGGAGGACGAGTGGAAGCCGGCGGAGATGCAGCGGCTGATGGCCTCGTGGAACCCCGGCACTGAGGTCATGGGGTTGCAGGGAGCTGATCATATGCCCATGTTCTCAAAGCCGAGGGAGCTCTCAGAATTACTCATGGTGATTGCCAACAAGTACCCAGCAAGCTGAGTTGGTTAGATGGCTTCAGTGCAAGGAAACTTCAAGCACTGATATTACGATACATTCCTCATAAATCTACGGTCGAGCCACGATGGTGCAATATAATGCAGGATCTCCTTAATTACTTCCTCTGTTTTAGTTAGTACACTAAATTACGGTCTGGTTGATGGCCCTGATTAATCTCAATTTTGGCCGATTTGGTGCGAAATGTTTAAGTTAAGTCCCTAATTACACATTTGTTAGTCCTAACAGAACCATACAACGGTGGAATACCCAAAATTCCTGAGGTACTGTAGCTGCAGGTCTTTATCATACTGCTGATTGTTTGGGAGTGAGCTCAACTTAAATACCCGAGTCACTGAATTATAATAAGTCCGGGTTAACCCTTTTACGCGGAGCGAGGACAGAAGCGTAAGGCTGCCTGTAATGGAGGCATGCTTGTACTCGCCTACAGATCCCAAAAAAAAAAAATCAAACTAGGGTTAAATCTGGCTCAATTTTCACAAAATGGTCAAAACACCAAATTTGCCCCTTAGAAGCTAGTTCGACCTAATTAGGAAGTGCATGCGCTTGCACGCCTGCATGATTATGGTTCGATGTCTCAACACAGTAGCAGAGCCAGGAAGAACATATCAAAGGCTACACACACCATTTGGAACAACACAAAGTGCAAAACTTTGATCACAATCTGCTCTGTTCAGAGGGACTCGGAAACATTTCCAGACAAAAGCTTCCATGCTGCACAACCACAGTTACAAGTGCAACATTCTCAGATGGGAACATGAAAGCTCCACACAAAAGCTAACAACGGTCACCAGGATTATAACTGCAACAGACACCAAGTCCAAACCCACCAGCAACGGTCAATTCAGCTAAGCATATTAAACCAGAAAACACGGGCATCATATAACTTTTGCATAGTGCTACAGAGACCGACAGAGGCAAAATGCAGCAGCTTCAGATCAATATCCTAGCACAATTCGTAAACCGGCCATTGTTTCACCACAGGGAAGGAAGCCTGGAGATATACACATGAGTTAACTAAAATTTCTTGTGCAGCTCGCTCACAAGGAAACAAGAACCGAATGCCATCATCCATGGATGCACCGGTGGCACGTAGACCAGTACGTACTTACTAAAGGCTGTATGATTAGTAACACACCCTCAAAATAGTTTCGACTTGGTTTCGCTCGCTTTTCGAGTAGCGTCCGAGTGAGTGAGTAGGGCAAAAGCACGCTCATGGGAAAAATTCTGCTAGCGTCGTTGAGGATCTCGGTTGGTGTTCAGGCCTTCAAGGGCTTGAAGTCTGCTCCCACTGCCTCCTGGATAGATTTGAAGCCGTCTCTTTCCAAGCATTCTGCGAGCTCGGCCTGTCGAATAATCATCAGCATCAGAGTTCAATTCAGACATACACAAGGGAGCAGGCTAAAATATGTTGGTCAGAATGGCCGGGCTCATTTACCGAGGAGCAGTGGTACGTTTGTAACTAGGAAAAGGGCTGCAACTTGTAAGGTTCATGCCAAGTAAAATAAGTGTTAGATTTATAACCTTTATTCTCGGGATGAGAGCTGGACCTCCGTAGGCAAGTGCGGTGTAAAGCTGAACAAGCGTAGCTCCAGAACGTATCTTCTTGTATGCGTCCTCGCCGCTGTATGTGCGATAGAAATTTGATTAAATATTGGTGTTGAAAGTGAAAAACACGGTCAAAGTAAATACAGAACTAACATTACCTAGTTACACCACCACAGCCTATCAGGGTAACCTTGCCCTGCAGGATATGCAAACACTTGTTCATGAGGGAGAGTTATGAGACTCCAGTAAAGAAATAGTAGCGCCAAAAATGCAGTGACCAGGATGGAAGATGTGCTAAAGTAAATAGATACTAATATAAAGTAAGAAACGGGATAAAGCACGCACGCCTGTACGGATATACATATCCCTGAGAACTTGAGTAGATAAGTCAAACAGAGGCTTCCCACTTAATCCGCCGGCTTCCTGAGCTAATGGATGTGCGTCTGCAGGAGGCGGCCTTGAAATTGTTGTGTTCGATATAATCTGTGTTTTTAACAATGTCGATAAAGAATAAGCAAACAGTAGTGAAGCAACATGGACGAGAGAAATACATATTTGCACAGGAGTTAATTAGGGTTATGCTAGTCAGTGCAGTGACACGTAAAAATGTGTCATGGAATAATTATCCACCTACCAGGCCATCTAACTTGGAAGCAAGAGCAACCTGGAAAACAGCAAGCAAAAGCATAAGAAAAATATTCACCAACTGTCAAAGAGCATGAAAAATAAGGCTTTAGTCCAGTATGTTACGGCAGCAATGTCCTCAAGATCTTGCTTCGACAAGTCCGGTGCGATCTTCACAAGCAATGGTGGTGGACCATCTTCAGCCCACTGCATCTCATCTCGTGCATCTTGCACCTGCACATCCAGTGTATGTCAAACTAATTTCCCATGCAAATGAAGAAAAGATCCACTCCAATTAGAAAGACCACAGACCTTCTTCACAAGTTCTTTCAGCTGCTTTCTACCTTGCAATTGGCGAAGACCAGGAGTATTTGGGGAAGAAACATTTATGACCTGCATTAAGAGTAAGAAACCAGTTGCTATCATTTATGCCGCATGTCCATATACACTGCTCATCCAGCAGCAGTCCTATTCCATGATTGAGACAGAGCATAAAACAATGAAACGTTTTTCTTTAGATGCAGAGCACAGCCCCTGATTTCAGTAAGAAAGTTGTAGTAGCATGTTTTAGCAGATGGTAACAAATGGGGAGCCATCATGAAGTACAGTGTGCATTGACGACAAAACATTCGCAAACAGTTCTCTAGTTATGCTGTTTTCCTCAGATCAGCATGAATGAATGCAAAGTTCCTTATTCTAACAACCATATCCATCTGAATCTATGGTGCATATGAAACTGAAAGTAACAAACGTGTGATGTGAGGTTATTTTGTAACAGCAAAAGATGGATACCAGGTAATCAGCATACTGTGACAATGAATGAACTCCTTGCACGTAATCAGCACCAGCATCTTCACTAGTCTTATTCTTGCCAAGATTGACTCCCAAAATCCCAGGACCTGCTTTCCCTCCTTGCTTTACATCACTGGAGCTCGAAGTTTCCTCCATCTTCCTCTTACCATGTTGTGCCCCAAGACGCTTAGCAACTACAACAATTCCTTCACTGTTGAACCCGCAGCGATTGACTACAGCACTGAAGAGAAAGCAAGAAAACACCATTATAAGAAACCACCACACAACATTTTAATTTGTTTCATAATTAAAGTGGCAGCGGACAGTTTGAATAGCAGTAGCAGAACATGGAATGCTTACCCATGCTCTTTCAATCTGAATATTCGCGGCTTAGGATTCCCCTCTTGAGGCTGAGGTGTTACAGAGCCAACTTCCACAAAGCCAAACCCAAGACCCAATAGACCCTCCACAGCCTCAGCATTCTTATCAAAACCAGCAGCAAGACCAATTGGATTTGTAAAGTTCCTTCCCCAAACCTCTATCCCAAGAACTGGTGGATCGGGTCTCTTTTCTCTAGGGACAAATCCATGAGCAGCAGCAGAAACAGCCAAACGATGAGCAAACTCTGCATCTAGTAGCGCAAAAAGTGGATTCACGAGTTCTGTTGATTTGAATAACCACCCACTGCACGATCACAAAGGTCGTATCCATTAGTGAATAGGCTCCAGGTTGATAGTTGTAGCCAAAAAAGGGTACAATTAAGCAGGAACATATGAATTCCTAGAATCCCAACTTGTGGCTATTTCAAGCACCTATGGGGTGCTTTCGTGCTATTCAGATGTAATTACAACTTGTTCTAATGAAAAATTAGGTCCAAGAACTTAGTGGCATGTACCAAAACGTGGCCTCGTCGGTAGTACTCACGTAAGCACCTCCAGCAATGGCCAATCCTATCATGGCCCCAGTCAAAAGCCTACCCTGCATATTGACGAGGAACAACAAGGACTAGTTAATAAAGTAAATGACACAGTAAAGGGACAGGTAATCACTATAATAACTGTATGATCAACTCAATGTTTCATAAGATCCTTCACAAGCAACTAATTTAAGAATGCACTTTTTTCAAACAAAAGAGGACAAGTATTGTTGTCAAAATCTCAAGAATAGTGCAGTCAATAGATCCTCCATCTACAGGAACATCAAGTCCGATTATTATTTTCCCCTTTGTATTTGTATTTAAATCATGATGATGGGACAGAGCGCAAGTGAGTAACTGCGCTACAAAAGGTCACACAAAAATATTATCTTTGATCAAAAGACGCAACGCGTTCAGATGGCACGAGAGCATGGACCAGATCACCAGCGCAGCGTACTGGCGGCAACCAGCGGGCACGGCATCTAAAACACGCCAGCTGCTTCCTCCATTACTCGAGAGGAAGCAGCGCGCGGAGGAGCAGAGCGCAGCGCGCGCGCGTGAGGTGTATGTGTCAATGCCGAGGAGGCGGGGGGCGGCTGGGAGGGACGCGTTACCTTGCGGGGAGGCGGGGGCACCTTAATGGGCGCTGCGACGGCGGAGACCGTCCTGCTGGCCTGCCGGGCGCCGGCGGGGGCGGGGGCGGAGGCGCGCCACGGGGAGCCGCGCAGGAGGGCGCCGCGGAGGGAGCGCCGCCACGCGCTCGCGGCGGCGGAGGACGCCATGGCGGGGCAGGCAGGCGCGGGGGCCGACGGCGATGGCGGCGGCGGCGGCGGGACGGGCGGGCGGGCGTTCTGGTCGGCGTGGGGAGCAAGCAGAAGGGTCGAGGGCTCAGGCGTGGAAGAGAAGTAGTAGCAGACTGTACTTGGGCTGGGCCGGGAGACGGGCCCAGGTCGGCTTATAAGCGGCTCGCCATCTCTTCTTCTTGCTCGCTCGACCGGATTTTTTTTCTTTTTTTTTCTTTCTTCTGTCCGAAGAGACCAGTAGAAATAACTCCGTATGCTACGACTTGCGAAGCAAGGCAGAAATGGCTTCCAATACCTCCTCGTAGGCTCTCGAATGCTGAGATAGCAAGAAGTGCGATGCATTCTGTAAAAAAAAAGGACGATGCAGCTAGGGATGAAAATCGGGCCCGGTTTAACCAAAGAAAGGCCATGCTTTCATTGCCAAAGCTTCCATAGTTGAGACTTCCGAAGCAAAAGGAACACGGCAATAACCAGCAGCTACTCCATCCGGTCATTTTTACTTTGCATATTAGAACTCTTTGAAGTCAAACTTCACAAAGTTTGACCGTACTTATATAAAAAAATATCAACATCTGACATGCTAATGTTATACAATATGAAACTTTAAGTCATAACACATCTATAGGTATTGATTTCAGATTGTGAATGTTGGTACTTTTTTTTATAAAGTTGGTCAATTTTTATGAGGCTTGACTTCAATCAAATCTTATATGCGAACTAAAAAGAACCGGAGGGAGTACAAATGTAGCTTGGTCATCAGGAATGACGGCTCTCGTTGATCCCACTCCGTCTTCACCATGGAAAGAAGCGCCCGCGTTCTGTTTTAAATTACCTTTTCCTGGCTTTACCCATCGAGTTTTCTTCCTAACAGCGTGCTTGGTTCGGAGGATTTATAGATGGGGAATGGGAGTTGAGAGATGAGGAGATTAAAAGTCCACTGTTTGATTAGAGGTAATGAGAGTTTAAGTGGGAAGGGGAATGAGAGTTGAGGAAGTCGATTCCCATCGATTTCTTTCTATGGACAACGCATTTGGTAATATTTGGGAAGGGGAATGGGAGTTTATAGTAGGGAGTTATATTGAGATTAGACATGGAATGAGACGTTTTATTCCCAACCCTTTGTTTGGCACATAATAGGAATTACATGTGAGATTTGAGGAGAAACTGTATTCCTTTGTTTGGCTCATGGGAATTGGCAAGGGACTAGACATGGGAAGTTAATGTAAATTATGATGAAGGGCTAAGATCGACTCACTAAAATAATTCCCTTTCAATTTCCACCCCCTCTCCTATTAATAAAACGGTGGGAGTTGGTGTCTAAAGTCCCATGCCTATTCCCTTCTAAATTCCCAGTCCCCCTAACCAAACAATAGATTTAAAGACTCACACCCCTTCAATTCCCATTCCCTAGATCTAATCACCCCCAACCAAACACGCTAGAAGTACCCTGAGCAGAGTTTTATCCCACGCTAATTCCCATCATATACCAAACAAGGGAATGTGAGTAAATATCTACTTTCCATGCCCAATCCATCCATTAACATCCTCATGCAAACTACCATTCATGAGCAGAGTGTTTACCAAATAGGCTGTAAACACTATTTTATGGTTTGCCTTGGAGACTGGATGGGTGTACTACACCCAATTTAGCCAAAAAAAAATGAAAAATGGTATCAAACAAAATCCAAAAAAATTGAATAGACCAGTAGAAATACTTCATACAACTTGGCGAGCAAGGCACAAATGCCTTCTTTTTGACAAAATGGAGGACTAGGCAGTAGCCTAGTGGCAAGGGTCACAGTGGCGAACCCTGCGCCCATGGTTTGACTCCCGTCGGAAGCGAATTTGTGGCGTCTCATCCGATGGGCTCCTTCTATAAAATATACGTCCTAGGTGCTAGTGTCCATGGAAATTTTTTCTCCTGACAAATGTCTTCTTGATATAAAAGTCGTGATTTTCCATACAAAAATCTCCATTGTGATTTTTTCCCATTATTCATCACTTCATAAAATACCTTTTGAAGACAATACAAATGTAGATGCCCACACACACACCCTGTAAAATACCAGATAACTCTTCCGGTTCATCTATAATGGAAATTAGTGGCTATTAAAAATTAGTTTTGATTTACTATGGCAATAGTTGTTGGTTACAACCATTAAAAAGATTGATTAGTTCCATCAGATTATTTGAACTGCAGCAAGGAATGAACATTACAAGTTTACAACTCTCTTTGATTTTCTTTGATGTTTCCTCTTTTGTCTGGTCTGAAATAATATGTCTTGTCTATATATTCTACTATGCATCATCATTTTCTTCTGTATTACTGATAGGAGAATATTGTAATGGCACTTCATTAATTAGAGGTAATAGACACAACTTCGGTCATACCATGTTAGTACAATTAATTTATTTTCAATTCCAAACATGTATCAGTTGCAGAAGATGTGGCACGAGTTGGTGGGCAGCTGGTTGTAGCCGAAGCAAGAGCATTCAAAGACATGAGCTGCTATCTGTACATAGGTATATATTAGCTTCTGCACTGTCTCTTTGTCTCTTTACTACCTTTCCTACCCACTCATGCTTTGAATTTGCTCTTAGCTTGGTGAGGTTATTGTGAGGTGAAAAAAATGATGCATGGTCAGATTTTAGGTGTATCCTATTGACTGCATGATTACATATATCGTGATGTTACTCAGCTATTATTCTCATTTGCTTCCTATTGTGCATTTGGTTTGTTGCGGGTCTTACACACACTCACTTCTTCCTTATATTGCATGGATCCGACTAAGTCTTCCATGTGTCTTTCTTTTTTTTGAAGCTCTCGCAGAGAAGAAATTAAGGATTTCTTAGCATTTCAGCTTCATCTAGGAAAGTTATAATCATTGTATTAGAAAAAACACAAATGATCCTCTCACAATGATGGAAAATTAGTTGTGAACGATAACTTGTGTTCTCTAGAGATTTTTAATTTAAGTGCATGGTTGTTAATAGTGTTAAATGCATGTACTTTGAGTGATGAAATAACACCCGTGGTACAAATAAGAAAGTGAAAGGGGCGTGTCTCCACCTGACAACGCCCCAACTTCTCTCAGGAGCCCGCGATGGCGGGCCCCAACCACTAGTTCACATATACGTCTTCTGAAACCTCGCTCGCACAAAACCGCATGACAGATCGCACCCGTCGGCCATGGCGTGCCAGCAGTCCCGCGCCTACGCGGCCATCCTCCAGCGCAGCGCCGACCCCCGCCGCGTCGCCTCCCTCCACGCGGCGATCCTCAAGCCCCCCATCTCGTTCGTGAGCGCGCTCAACGCCAGCTCGCTCGTCGCCCCCGCCGGCGCGCACGCGCGGCAGCTCTACGCCCTCGCCGTCCGGCTCGGCTTCCAGTCCCACGCCTTCGTGCTGAACGCGTTCCTCGCGGCGATGGTCCGGCAGGAGCGGCTCGCCGACGCCGTGCGGCTGTTCGAGTGGGCCTCCGGCCGCCGCGACATCGTCTCGTGGAACACGCTGCTCGCCGGGCTCGCGCGCCGCTCGCGGACGCGCATGTGGATTCTCTGGCGGAGGATGTCCCGGGAAGGCGCCGGGGCCGACGGGTTCTCGTTCAGCATCGTGCTCTCGGGGCTGACGGCCGACGCGGACACGGTGAGCGGTTTGCAGGTCCATGGGCAGCTTGTCAAGAGCGGCTTCGGCGACGATGTCTGCGTGGGCAACTCCTTGGTGGAGATGTACACGAAGAACGGGGCCCTGGAGTCCGGCAACAGAGCGTTCACCGAGATGCCCCGGAGAGACGTCGTGTCGTGGACGGAGATGGCCGCCGGTTGGCTGCAGTGTGGCGAGCCCGCCAAGGCCATCGGAGTGCTCGGTCCCATGATGCTCGAAGGAATTAGGCCAAACAACTACACATTGGCGACGGCAGCCAATGCCTGCGCGACCCTCGCCGGTCCGAGCGAAGGGCGCAAGGTTCATGGATACGCCATCAAACTGGGAGAGGGCTCTGATGTCGCCGTGAACAACGCGCTCATCGACATGTACTCCAAGTGCGGCCTGGTGGACACCGCGCACAGGGTGTTCCAGTCAATGCGGCAGCGGCCCGTCATATCCTGGACGACGATGATCATGGGGTTCGCGCGGAACGGGCAACCTCAGAACGCCGTGAAGGTGTTCGACGACATGCTTCTGGAAGGCGTCACGCCTAACCACATCACGTTCCTCTGCGTCCTCCATGCCTGCAGCCAAGGCGGGTTCATGGAGGAAGCCTGGATATACTTCAGAGCCATGACAGACAAGTTCCGCATCGAGCCCGGCGAGGATCACTACGCCTGCATGGTCGATCTCCTCGGGAAGGCAGGCCATATAGAGGATGCCGAGGAGCTGATATCGCGGATGCCGTTCCGCCCCAGGGTTCTGGTCTGGCAGGCGCTGCTCGGTGCTTGTCAGCTCCATGGCAATGAGGCCGCAGCAAAGCGGGCTGCAGAGCGCGCTCTTGCGCTCGAGAAGGAAGACCCGTCGATGTACTTGCTGCTGTCGAGGACGCTCGCGGGTCGGCACGATTGGGGCGGCGCCGGAAGGTCGAGAGGGCTCATGGGGGACAGAGAAGTCATGAAGCTGCCTGGGTCTACCTGGTTGCAGTCCATGCCCGAGACTGAGAGTGCCCAGGCTTGCACAGCATGAACAATAATGCAAAATGCACATTTTCCTAATGGAAGCACCTGGAACCCTTTTCTGGCCTGAAAGGCTTCAGGCTACGAAGGAAAGTAGGTATTTAAATCATTTTCTGGCATGAAAGGCTTCAGGCTACAGAGGAAACTAGGTATTTCAGTTATCTGAGTGAATGCCATTTTGGCTTGGATGGAAGTGAATTGACAGTTTCCTGAATGAACTTCTGCATGATCCAACTGGTAAGAGTCTGATGTGATCAATGGCTATCAATTCTGTTCAGGGCAAAACAGTTATTAATTGGCCTTGCTTAATAACAATAAAATAAGTGTAAATCCTCATGATAGCCCTTGATATATGCTCTTTTTTTCCAATACAAAGAAAGCCATACATAGTCCTGATCGTGTAGGTAATTAGTAATTACAGAGTACAGCTATGGAGTGGGGAAAACTGTTCAATATGCAAGCTGTGCAGCTCAAGCCAATGCCATTTGGCATCCTCTGAAGTGTGAACCATTACAAGAATCGGTCTTGCAGACAACAGGCGATGATGTCAAGCGACATTTGAGGTCTCCAGGAGAGGCTCGATGTAGTCCTTGAACTTGGCCTTGTTTATCGCGCCTTCTCTTCGGCTCCCTGGCACCTCTTGCCCGTTCTTGAAGAGGATCAATGCCGGGAGACCGTAAACCTTGTACTTCTCGATAATTTGAGGATTTGCATCATGGTCGATCTTGACGATCTTTAATCTCCCCTCATATTCCTGTTTCATAAGAAAATCGCCAACTATCAGAGATACAAATTAAAATAACAGACTTCCACTCTAAATTTCTTTAGCTTTCAGCGCTGCTGAGGCCTGCAGAAAATTTTCCATGCACCCTTAATTTGACTCTCTTTGGAAAAAGAAACTACTGGGTAGGTGATTGTTCACATAGAGTACATTGATGTCTGTACACATTGGCCAATTGATCAGGGAGTTTTCATGATTGCTAGTGAGACCAATTTTGGAGGTTCCAAACTAAGCCTCTCCATTGTCCAATGATCTACTTATACCAAACTAATCTAGGAAGGCATCCCAGGCTCACCGCATCAACCAAATCATTAAGGCTATGGTAAATTTTATGCAGTCTAAACATATTATCCATGGTATCTTGGCAACCTGACAACCTGTCATATACTCCCTCTGTGATTCCTTGCAGTGATTACTACTTCGCCATTGATTTCAGCAAGCATTTTGGGCCTTTGTTCTATTCTACCACTTGTTACAGACTCACATGAAGGCAGTTTTACTGTGGTAAGATGCACAGCTCAAACCAGAAAACTTTCTGGGAACTGCTGAATTTCCTGTTCTTTTAGTAACAACATGGAGTTCGTACATCCACAGACGCCGTGACAGGTCAGGTTGCTGGGAGCTGCTGAGTGCCCCCTTCTCTTTACTAAGGTGTGTGTGGCCATGGAGTTCATGCATCAGCTGTTCACAGGATGCCAACGACTTACGGCTACCACTGACATTATTCCGCGACAGTTGCTATCCATACCATACAGCAGGAACTGAATTATCCACCGCAGCAAAACTAGAACTGCGAGCGCCGTGTGGTTTGGTGTCTCTGCGATTCTCAACTAAACGAACACGACGAGGCCGGGCGGCAGCGCGTACCTCGGAGGCCCAGTCGACGACGGGGGCGACGAGGCGGCAGGGCCCGCACCAGTCGGCGACGAAGTCGACGAGCACGGGCAGGTCCGACTGCATGACCTCCGCCTCGAACTCGCCCTCCCCGACCAGCTTCACCGCCCCGCGGCACCGGACGCGCGCGCGCGCCAGGGCGGGCGCGCGGCAGAGGAGGGGCCCCGCTGCCCGAGGGAGCGCGACGGCGAAAGGGAGCCGGCGGGAGGAGGAGAAGGAGAGGGGCGAGCGGAGGGGCGGAGGGGGCGCGAGCGTGGACGCGGTGGTGCTCGGCGCGGATGCCATGGGGGTGGGGGGAGGGGGGAGAGCTGCACGATGCCGATGAGGCGGGGCGGGTAGGAGGAATCTTCTGGAAGGTGCCACCTGGCCACCGGTTTGTGCGACGAGCGGGTTCGTTTCTGGTCGTGAGGCCCACGGCTTTCGGGGCCTCGGCCTGGTTTATCCAACGCGCAAAATTTGTGTGGCCCATGTATAATAACACGCACCCCTAAAACAAAATGTATAATACGTACGTAACACGCAGTGAGGGTTCTGGAGGAAAAAAAAACTCGGCCAGAAGAGGACCGTTGGGTGGGTCATTGTCTCTCTTCTCCTCCTCGTCTCTGATATGATCAGACCAAGAGGGTAACTGTCACGACCCTGTTTGCCCGCTCTACCCAATCTTCTTCATTATCCATAGGCCACAACTCTCTTTTTCACGACACACCTCAAAAGGCACGCGTAGAGGCGCAGAAGGGTGGGCTATGAGCCTATGAGGCAAAATAGGAGTTGTGTGTGGGCTATATAGCACAATGCTCAGTTGTATCAACATGGGGTTGCGAGAACCACTGACCTCACGCCCATCATGAGATCCGCAGATCGTGTTGGCGTCCGACGTTTTTCAAGAAATTGACCATTAAAGGAGCAAAGCGCGTGCCTCTCTTCAGTTGAGAAATTTGTCTCGTGAAGCAATGGACGCGCATGATGTTGTTCTGATGGCTTTCAAGATGGGCTTGAGCCCCATTATTGTATAGAGGCACGCCGTAAAAGTGGGTGGCCATGAAACCCGACAAACATGAGCGCTCGAAAGTTCCATATATCTGTCCGGGTCAAAGCGGAATTTCGTAGAATGTTTCTCTTGGTCATGTGGGGGCGGGAAGCTAATATGAGGTGGCCCACATATGTGCAAAATAAGCTACCAAGAGTAGGAGAAAATGTGTTTGGCTTAATTTTCCCTGGCAAATTGTCAATACGGTTTCCCCTCAGCAAATAAAAATAAGAAGTGTCAATACGATTGTGTTCGTGATTCGAAAAAAACGACTGAGCAGCAAGAACACACGAAATTAAAGGGAAAAAAGTGTTCCCGCAAAAAAAAAAGAAATTAAAGGGAAAGCGGGGTGTCGTTTTCACATGAAAGCAAATGAATCCGGATGGGCCACGCGTCAGCGGCTGGCGCGGCCCACCTGTCGTCTTACGAAAGCACTGCACCGCGTCTACCGACCAGCTGGTGAACCAGGTCCACGCAACAGATAGAAGCAACAAAAACCGATCCATCTCGCCGGTCTCCGGCTTGGCTTGGCCTTGACGACGCCCGCTGCCGCTGACGCTTTCTCCATCCATCCCCCTTTATTCTTCCCCCCAAAACCCCCCCACCCTCCGCGCATGGAGGCGCGCGCTCCGGAGACGCCGGCCGGCTAGGGCTCC